ACACACACACACACACACACACACACACACACACACACACACACATATATATATATATATATATATATATATATATATATATATATATATATATATATATGTGTGTGTGTGTGTGTGTGTGTGTGTCTTTGTTTATGTATACGTTTATTAGATTGCATGTCAATGGAAAGCAAATTCATTTGAAAACAAAGAAATATATGCATACAGATATAAATATTTATATATAAATATATATATATATATATATATACTGTTTTGCCTCTATATATATGTTGGTAATAGACCATAATTTTTACAATATTCTATAAATTCTACCGAATGTTTGGCGTTAAAATGTTTGTAGTTCCAGCCAATAAAGAAATCTGACACCTAATTTCTATCGAAGTTCATTTTCACAAAGTAAATATTTCCCTATATAAATCAACTTGCACTGATGATGATTCATTCGGAGGAATCGAAATATGGTCTTATTTGCAGCATGAATTCGGAAAATAAGTTTATTTTGAATTTTAATATACTAAACATTCTCCAAAAAACTTTAGTGAGAAAAATCGAAAAAACGAACTACAAACATATTAACGCCAAACATTCGGTAAAATTTATAGAATATTGTAAAAAATGTATAAATATATATATATACATACATACAGAAATAATAGTACATTTTTATGAAATGTTATAAATTTAGACTTACGAATATTCCACAAATATCAAAGTGTTTTTTCGAAGTTTTTGTGATATAAAATATTTCTTTATATCATATAAAACCCGATATTTAAAACGGTAGCGTTCTTTTATATTATAAGTATAAACGAATGGAAAAGATATGCGTCAAATAAATACGTAGAGACACACGTATGTATCTTTAAATAAATGGAGCTGTTTCTTTTTATCTACACATAAAATCAAGTTTTTGATTTAAAAAGATATGTTCTAAAATAATGCATAATGTTTGAAAAAGATTGTAGTAAAGGACGTAAAATTTAACATTCAACAAATTGTTCTTTAGCAGAGTTTACAAATCAATGTGTAAACTGTTGTTATTCTTGGTTTGGCATATAATATTAGGAATGTAAGATGTGTGGATGTTGTTGTTGTTGTTGGCATTGTTAGTTGTTGATGTCATTATCGATCCGTTGCTGGTGGTTTTAATGATGACATTGTTAATGTTGTTATTGATGCTATGGAGGTTTGCTTTGTTTTTCACTAATGAATGAGTGGCAATTGTTATATCATTGTTATCCATGTTATATTTGAAGTTGTCATTATCAAAGGTGTATTTGATCTTATCCGTGTCGTTGTTGCTGTTGTAGTTGCTGCTGCTGTTAATGTTGTTGCTGTCATTGTTGTTGTTGTTGCCCGGATCAATTAGAATGTTGTTAGCAACACAACTCTCTGAATTGTTGGAGATAGTTTCAGTGGAGTTGCTGTTGTTGATAGCAAGACTGTTGTTACTGCTCTGAGTTTTTTCATCCAGAACAGCCAAGGTTTCTGCATAGTTTAAAGATTTTACTTTCGCTTCTTTCACAGACAAGATTGCTGTCACGGTGCTTGTTGGCGTGGTCTGATGCTGATGTTGGTGTTGAAGTTGTTGCTGTTGAGATGTTGTTGTTGCTGGGACACAATCCGTCTTTACAAAGCCCCTCCTATCTATTAAACTGTTTTTGGTGGCCAGTATTGTTATGAAATATGGAAAATTCATTTTCTGTAGTAACAGAAAAGAAATAAACAGACAACGAACAGAACAACGCAACAAGCAACAACGAAACAAGCAACAACACAAAATAAAAAGCAACGACACAAACAACAACGCATTCATACCTTGGTGTGACGGGACCAAATATCATGAAACAGAAGTTTGACAACTTGGAATCTAAGCTGAAAGGATTTTTCTGACCCCTTGTGTAAGAGCTTTTGATCTAAGTAGGAGTGAGTAGGAATGATGATGAGAATGAGGCCTATTTTATAATGATAACATTAGTGATAATGTGATCAGAGAAAAGTTGGTGGTGAAGAATTCAATGGCGATGACAGCATTTAATGATTGCTGATGATATGATGATGGCAATGATGATAAGACTGTTGTTTGCGATTAAGTAAGATGACTGTGATGTTTACAAAGAGAATGTTTATGCTGAAAAATCATTATTACAATGGTGACTAAAATGATTGATTATCAGCCGGATAACGATCGCTACAGTAACGTTGATGTGACGACGATGAAGTTAAAAAAATAGAAAAATTAAACAATAAAAAAAAATAACTACAGACATCTTCATTAGTTGTGATGTTGCAGAAAGAGAGGAAAGTATGGAAACCCGCCAGTCCGACAAACGACCATAGACAAACGAATGATACAACTATCTCGATCACAGTATAAAGAGCCAGGTTAAGGATGAATAGGTAGGTACGTTTAATTTGCTGTTGCCGATGTTACCAGTGTTGTTAATGACATCAATGGAATTATGAAATGGCGTTTGTATGCTGTGTTAACGGAAGGATGACAAAATGAATGAATGAATGAATGAGTGAGTGAGTGAATGAACGAAAGAAAGAAAGAAAGGAAAAAAGAATGAATGAATAAATGAATGAATGAATGAATTGGGAAATCGATGATTAGATAAATAAATAAATAAAGAACTGAACAAAGGTGAAGTCAAAAAAAAAGAATGAACAAACAAACAAATAGACAAACGGACAAACATTGAGTCAAATAAAGGACAAACAAATGATTGAATAAATGGATGAAATTCTTGATAAATGAGTTAATAGCAAACAGATAGATAGACGAATAGTTGAATGGATGAATGAATGGATAGTTGAATGGATGAATGGACGGATAGTTGAATGGATGGATGGACGGATAGTTGAATGGATGGATGGACGGATAGTTGAATGGATGGATGAAAAAATGACTAAAGGATATCTTCCAGGTGACGTCTTCAGAGCATTCAGAAAGTCAGACTCTATTGAAACTGTCGATCATTACAAAAAAAGTTACATCAACAAATGAAAAGTTACATCAACATGCAATTTGATTTTAAAAATAAAAAGCCTCGACATAAATAACACAACTTTTTATAAAAAAAAAAACAATTAGAACCTTTTAAACAATGAAAAAAGGACCACAAAAACACCAGAACGCACACGAACACAACATCACATCTACTCAGTACTGACTTAGTATCATGGTAGTGAGAGAGAATGCAAACACATAGCAACAGTGTATCGTCAAGGTGATGACGAACCAATAAAAAAACCTGGGTTTAAGATTATATATAGATGAATGAATCATCGGATTAACTCAATCCATAAACACTTTCACTCAGCAGAATGCATTGCCAGAAAACACAAAACTTTCATATGCTGGTTCAACTAATCCAAGGACACCACACATGTATAAAATTGAAAGAAAAAAAAATGTACATTGCTATTTAGCATGGAGTGACCCAAAATCAACCAAACATAATAAATTAACTGAAAAGTTATAGATATAAAAATATGAATATTAATACTCTCAATATTAATGAACACTCAATCATGTAATCCTTCAACCAACCAACCAATCAATCTGAAAATATTAACCAACTAAGCCAACCAACCAACCAACCAACCAACCAACCAACCTACCAACCAACCAACCAACCAACCTACCAACCAACCAACCTACCTACCAGCCAGCCAACCAACCAACCTGTAATTTCTCTTGCCAATGCAGTTGCCCACCCATGGACAGTGGTGGTCGAATCTTTCTGCTCATATTATTTTATTATCATTATTAGATTTTACAAAAGTTCTAAACTGTATTATTATTATTTCTAAAATAATAAGTACTAGCTTTAGTAGTAGTAGCAATAAATCAATAAAAAAAAATGACCAACCAACTGACCAACCAACTAACTGACTAACAAGCTGACCAACCAACTAACTGACCAACAAACTTACCAACAAGCGAACCAACCAAACAAGCTGACCAACCAACTGACCTACACAGTTATCACAGGTACTGCAGTGTGACACCCTTGGTGGTCTAAAAAATTTGCATGTAGAACAATATTTCACTTTGGTGGCCACACCCTTCACTGTGATATCTAAAATGCGAGGGGGCTGGTAGGCAATCGACTGGCCGCTTTGTGGAAAATCTGAAATAATTTAAAAAAACAAAAATTATAAAAAGAAGAATTAAATATGAAATAATTTCATAATAAAGTTGGTACTGGAAACTATGCCATTGAAAAAATAAATTTTTAAAATTGAAAAAAAAATCATTGGAAAAATTTAGTTTCAGCAGCAATCAAGTAACTGACAAACAATCACCAAAGAAACAGTAATTTCATTATAAAGAATGATAACAATTTTTTATCTCTTAAACTGAGATACTCCTTTATTAATTTACACAAAGATCTATGGAAAAAATACAAAAATGGTCATGCTATTATAGATCATATCAGGGTCATTATTCATTCCTTGACCCCAGCAACTGACCCATCATTCGTTCAATGTAGAGAGCTTCTTGGGGTGTGGCCCTTGGAATGATTCCCGGATCCATAAAACTTGCCTTGTACAGAAAGATGACCACAAAAATGAAAACTGCCACATCAACGAATGGGATGCTCGGAGATAACTTTCTAAACAAGTATGGACAGCTAGTAGATATGAATAAATTAAAAAATTTCATATTCACCATCTGTACATAATATAAAATTATAAATAATAATATTAGCTAATATCATAATTTAATGCAATATATCAGATGAAGTATGAAACCAGAAAACTGACTCAAAGCCATAGAACAGTGCCGTCACTCCAAAGAGAAGGAAGTTTGTAAGCAGGAAAATGGATGGCTGATCAGTTGTTATGATCAGACCATTGCAGAAGAATTTGTTCTTTCCTGGAAAAACTTCCCACTTGCGAATGGGTCTCGTCACTGTCATGACGATTTTTCCGTTAAACTAACTTACTTACCGAACTAAGTAAATATTTGCGATTGCTAATTTTTCGTTCAAATCAGAAAATTGTAGGACACATACACGCAAGTGGGTCGTTGACTTTGACAGATATGACACCGATTTGTTGGACGGATTGACAAGAAGTTAGACATGTTTAATTAAACGGCAAGTTATTTTTTAAATTTATAACAATTTCATCTCATATAATTTAATTTAAAAATAATCTTATGATTGTAAAAACGCTGAATACCATCACAATCGTTGCACAATTTGTTTACTTTTTGTTTTTTTTTTTGTAGCAGATTTTCACTGGCACAGATGAAGCAGAATGTTGCCGTGAGCGAGGAACCGTATCAACATCGAATCCTTTCGAAACTTTTAACCGAATAAACTGTACAACGTAGTACCAGCCTATGTATATAATGTAATTAAATCAAATATAATTATACATGAAATAAATCGAAAAAAGAATAATGCTTCGGTTCTTATGAAATATTTTAAAGCGAATTAACTTTTAAAATTTTATAATTAAATACATGCCTGTAATTATCTATAATAGTTAAATCTGCCTAGAAAGAATTTATAGCTATATTTAATAAAAAATATCGCACAGTTACATTGATGATGTAATATTAAGTGGTAAAGTATTAACACACTAACATAACAGTATCTTGTTATTTTCTGCGTGCAAGTTTATAAACGCGGAGCAACTTTTATGTAGGTATTTCCTTACTTAATTTATTACTAATGATTTGCCACAAGTTTAACTACAATTTGTTTCTCAAAGCTAGCTCAAAAATGATCAACTTGCGCACAAGACAAATCTCTTGATTATTTTTTTCGGAAAAATCCTATTAAGTCTGGTCAACCTTCGCTTAGTCAAATAAGTTGAAAGACTTTTTCTCTTTTATAATACTCAGAGGACTCGACAACACACATCATACGCGAGTGGGATTGGAACCTTACACAACACCGGGAGCACTATCATTCGAGCTCACCGACCGCACGGCAGGATCAGGCGCTTGTTTAGACATTACATCATCAACTCACAGAGCGATAGCATTCTTTCTTACTTTCAACTAACTTTTCAAGACCGTCATTTAGGAGTCCTAATTTTTTTTTAAACTTTCACTTTCACCTAAATTCACACAGGTTAATGATAAGTTTTAACATAATTTTGCATCATGACGGCCGATCTTTAAAATACGGGCGAAACCATTCACCTTAATCACAGGAAATGCGCAACGGAAGAAAAAAGTACGTAACGGAGGCTTCAAAAATAATATTTTGATTGGTTGTTTCGATTTAAATTTTAGAACGAACATAACGACGATGAATATGCCTAACAGCAAACGATATTTGTTTTTTTATTTATAACTCGATCTTTTTAGAAAGTCAAATAAATAAATTATTTAGGTTTTACAACAATGACACACAGTGACAAACATTTTAAATCCCAAATACGGACAACAAACTATTATGACGAAAAAATCAATTCCTCATGTCATTTACAACAAGTTTGAAAATCTGGGACAGACAATAAAAATCAATCTATCACATTTTATTATATTTTATAAGCTTTTTCATGTTTACGTAATTTTTCACTTTGATAGAACTTATCACGGCCATCACTTGCAGCACACTTGAGCGGCTTCTTATCCATGTGCATTTCTAAGCGTCTTTTTTAACTTATTACTACCATATTTGAATGGTTCCTCGTCTGCGTTTCTCTTCATATACTTTTGGCAGACATTGCATTGTATGCATGAGGTTTGATACTCGTGTGTTGTGTATCATTAGGTGCGATTTGAAGAAACAGCGTTGCATACATGGATCCATCCTGTCCTGTGTTATTTAGCAATCCTACTTTAAAAAGAACTTGTGACAGATATCCCATTCAAATTTGTTTTCTTCCTAAATAAAATGTTATAGACAAGTGACCTCGAGCTGCGTGTGCTTTCAAAGTTGGAAATCCTGTATAAAAATTATTCGATAAATATTGCTTTAAATTAATGGTGAAAATAACTGTAATAATAATAACAACAATTATGATACCTAAAAATATGTCCAGTCCATGAGTATATGTAAAATTTGTAAACCGCTCAGAACATAAATGCTGCGATGATAATAAGTCTCGTTAGAAAAATTGAGAAATTCAACTACAAGTTGAATAATGCCAAAAACGCAGTGATCTTTATAAATAATTGTATTTATGATAGTCTAAATATATATATATATATATATATATTTATATAAAGGTTTTAATTGGCGCTATATAAATTTTTCTTTTTTTAATTTTCCTAATAATATATATATATATATATATATATATATATATATATATATATATATATATGACCTGCGTTCAAGGTATTCTTGGAACACGCACACACACGTGTGAGTTAACAAAGAAGGTAACTACGTGCAAGCAATAAAGGTATAAAAAAATTTCCCAAAAATTATGTATACGCAAACATGTAGTCGGCACATACACACACACAAAAGCACCCTAGTGGTCATTAAAAAATTCGCATATTATAAACATGTATATAATTGTTTTTATTGCAATTTATTTATGAAATTTTATAAAAAATATGAAATGAGAGCTATTTACTTACAATAATATATTAAAGACAGAAATATATATAGTTTTTCTAATAACTTGTGCTTATCTACTTTATATAGTTATTCAGTTTCTTGTAAACAGTTTAAAGAGAAATTTCTCTAATTAAGGAAACATTATCTTTAATTTGGTAAAATACATGTGGATACAGGATAGTTTGCAACCAGGTTATAGAATAATTGCTTTTCTGACTGGGAAATATCAAGGTTACATGTTTTTATACATATTTCCATTAAATACAATAAATTTAGTTTTGATCGACAGCATGTAACATTTTTTAATAAACTTATTTTGCATTTTGCAATTATTTTTAGTTATATTGAACTACTGTAAATATATATAAATATAACGTTATCGAGTCTTTGTTTTTAGAATGTGACGATTTTTAAACCGGTTTCCAACATTGCGATTGTTTTTAAATTAATAAATTTTTTCATTCCAACAGACATCCAAGTTGAACATTATGGTCGAGCACTTACCACCCAGAGAAATTATTCCAATAACCTCTGATGATCGAGAAGACTCTCTCCTGTTCTTGTACAACAGTGAGAGCTTTCAATCCATTCCCGGTCTCAATGGAATTCAATTAAAAGTTGGAGTCATCAACATCCTCATAGACTGCATAGGATTGGAAGCTGGATTGAGTGTTGGGGATGTTGTCAGCATTGATTCCAGCCGGCAAGCTGTTATTACTGATTTCAACGACGGCGTTAATGTAGTGGTCCATTACTCAATTGGAAATAACGGGAACGCTGAAGATGATGTTAGTGTTAATGTTGGAGAAGATGATGGGAACATGCATAGTAAAAATTTTGGTTTTGTGGACGGTGCCAGCGTTAATACTAGCAAAGTTGATGGAAATAGATTTAATAGTTTCGGTTTTGTGAATGATTTTAGCGAAGTTGATGGGAATCATGGTGATAGATTGATTTTCGTCGGTGGTAGGGGTGATGCCGGTTCAAGTGCATATGGTGATGAAAGTGAAACTAATGGTGCCGATAATGGGAACAGCTATTATGGCGGTAACGAAAGAGGAGATAGACTTTATAGTAGAAATAATGTTGGGCATCGTGAATATATCATTACTGTAGTTGAATATTTAGATGACTTTTACATTGATGATGATTCTTACATTGATGATGACGTCATATATAACATCCATATACATTATTAAAAAAAATCATGTGTATGTATTAGAGCGTGTGTTTGAGTATATTGCTTATTTTTGTTCTCTAATTAATTCAATTGAATGAGAGTCTAAAATAAAACAATATAAACCAGCATTTTTCATACAATAAATTTTTCTGTATGAAATTAATTTTCATATGTATTAATAAATTCAGTATAAAAGTTTTTTATATTTTGTTACAAACATAAAAAGCCTATTTTTTATTCCTTAACAATAAAATTCAACGTGAAAATTTGAAATTATAGAACTTGTATTTGTCACATTGCTACATTTGCTACAAATCTCCATTGACAATATTTTAAAAAATAGGAATGGTACGGATCTTAGGATTTGAGATCTGCGACATCCGGACCCGAATCTGGATTTAAGTAACGGATTTACTGGAGTCCAAATATTTTTTCTTCTTTCGTCCTTCCAACAGACTTAATTACAGAGAAGAGAGGGAAAGAAATTAATGTCATATCTAATGTAAAACGAATCTGCATCTTATCCAATAAAGATGATTATGCATTCATGAAAACCAATAAGATATATCTAACGTTTCTAGTGCTTTCATTATTTCTTCCACAATTTCTTGTTACAAGTTTTTCATGTAAAGAAAATTGTACATCAAACGAAAAAATTTACAAAAATCAGAAAAAAAACCAACATGAATTTATGAGTGTTTTTGCTTTGACATAAATCTCAGAATAAATTTTATTACGTAATCTGTGCAAAACGGCACATGGCCATTGCCCTTTGTGAACAAACTCTAGATACTTTTGCCTCAAACTGCTAGAGTTGTAAACCGACTTACACGTAAAACAGCGTAGTTGATTCGCGCAAACAAAAAAGCAGCTGACACAAATGTCAAATACGTTTCATTATAGAATTGCTTTCAAACAGCTACAACAACTAGATCAATCAACAATTTGGTGCTTTACGACTTTGCACTTTGTAGTAGTTGAAATTTGGTGATATTTAACAAATAACACAAAGACTTCACTAATGTGATTTGTTTTTGACTGTGGTCTCTTTTCCCTGCAATCTTTCCAGTAGTTGTTAGCTTTTCCATTTTTTTCTTCCGCATGATGTGATGTGACCAAAAACTTTAACTGCCCCTGTCGGAATATCTGTAGTAATTTCCTCTTTTCATAACCGGACTGTTTTAATACATCCTCATTCAAAGTATAAGAGGTCTAACTTATTTTCATAATTCTTCTGAAAAACCACTTCTCAGCAGCGTTAATTTTTTTCCATTTCTTTAGAAATTGTCTAGGGCTCAGAGCCGTACTTACCACACAAAAATGTAACATCCTAACAGTTTCAATTTGTTGATATTCTGATTTTACTGTTGGTGAGGATGTTTTTCATTTTAGAATATGCATCTTTTGCCATAGCTATCCTTCGTTTGAAATCTACATCCCGTTTACAACCTGAGGTAACCAGCCTTACAAGATATTTGAAGCTGTTGACTTGTTTCACCTGTTTACCACTAATGATTATGTAGCAGTTCTTTATTTCGACAAAACTAGTCATCTTGTTACCAACTTTCATTGCTACTTTTTGGTCCCAATAAAGGTTTTTTATAACTCTCGTATCTTTTCCATCAATGTCCAAATTTTCAAATATTTTGTAAGCTTCACGTGTTTAACCTTATCAAAAGCTTTGGTAGTGTATTATTTTTTCTAAAGGAGAACGAAAAACAAATTTTTAACTAGTACTTAAACTATTCACCAATGAAAATTTTTTTGTTCGTAAATAGTTTTTTTTACTAAATACTATCTCAAAGTTCAAAAAACGGACTAAAAGTTATCAGAAATTGTGTGTAAATTCTATAAGCAATCAACTTTTTTTGGCTAAAATCAAAAAACCAGCGATAAACGATTTTTACTAGATTTTAAGAAAACTTAAAATATTGGCAACTTTTTCTGATATATATTAAAAATTTTTATAAGTTATGAACTAATGAAAACCATTGATATATGGTTTAAATATGCAAATTCGCTACATTGTGCTTTTCACTGTTCAACCTTGACTTGCAACTCCTAATTTTTTTGAAATTATAAACGTGTTTTACGTATGTTATACTAGTGCGGTGAAATTAAGCAAATTTGATTTGGCGATTTGTTTTAGCTTCTAAACAAACTTTTAAAATTCAATGAATAACTTCGCTGTTAAAAGCCATGTTGGTAAGCGATGATACGTTAAAACTTGAGAAATTTCCTCTTGAATTATAGTAACATGCAATCTTTATTTCTCATAAATCCAGAATAAATGCTTTTGTTCTGTTTCTGTTTTAGTACCTACACTCTTAACTCAAAAAATATTTTGTAATTTTTAGCGTTTTTTAACAATTCTCACTTGAATATTTGCAAGAGGCATCAACAACCAACTCACGGTGCGTGTGAATACACGTGGAACAAGAGATCACACACATTGCGCGTGACAGGCGGGGATCTCTTGCACATATTTCAAAGTGCCAAAATGTAAATATAGCAATGAAAGCTATTAAAATATCAAGCCATCCAATATATGAGATGAGATACGAATGACATTGATTTTATAAAGCAAGTTATTTTTTTAGAATTAGGGAAGAAGTCTTGCTGCTTGATTAAATTTTTTAAAACCCCATGGTGTCATTTGGGTTGGTGGTTATGGCGTTAGTTTTTATTGCTCATTTTATGATATTTGAGCCGGTTTTATTGATTGATAACATGTTGTTTTGTGTAAGGCTTTAATATTATTTGTTTTGTCATTTATGTTGTTTTGCGTCGACTTTCATGTTGAATTATTTTATCTTCATTTTAGAATTTTAAACGAAATAAAATTCTTAATTCTAAGATGATTTCTAAATTTACTGCGTCATTCACTGACTGAATCTTTCTCACATATCTTCTAGTAAAAGTTGCCAATCCAAACATCTATTTTTCAATTACAAATTAAATAATATTTCTATTGAATAGAATCATATAGCCAGTAACATGTCGCACCAAGCGTGAATCCACAATTTGGTTATTTGAAACGAATAACAGTTTAAAACTTCCACAACTAAATCGTTATAACGTCATTCATTATCTTTTTTCTTCAAACAACTTAACAAATCACCATTAACCACCATCGTCGTTTGAATTGTGTTATACTTATAACAGGAGTTTCAACAGAAACATATAATCCGTTATGAAACAAAGCAAAATTCAGCATTACGTTTTGCCATATTGCTTGTTCTAAAGTTTTTAATGGAAATTAAAAAGTAGATTTTACGAAAACAACTTAGTTTCATTTAAGAAACACTTGAAAAAATTTCAGTTGATAAATAATTTATTTGATAATATATAAACAATAATTTTTTCTATACTTCTATTGAAAAAGTTTTGTTCACGAGTAAATTAATAGGTGGCAGAATGAATGCTCTGAATGACGTTTGAAAATTTTTAATTTATTCATTTCTAATTTCTCTGTTACTTTGGTTGTCGAACTCAGTAAATTTCTTTTCAAAACGTTGCTCTGATACATTCATGTCACAAAAAATTTTCATTTCATTTCAAGTAATGCGGGCTACCTGTACAAAACACGCGCCTGTTTATTGAACTTTCTGTACCTCCAGCTTAATCTATTGAGTTATTGCAAGCTTAGTGGGCTGAAACGACGTCTCACTTCTCATTGTTACCTATAAATAACTACACTCATACAGTGGTGTACTGTCCTTTGAATTTGTTAGGAGTGGCAGCCATCCATCTGAAAACGCATCATAATAACCAGAGCTGAGAACTGTAGGAAGAATTAAAGTAACAGTAAAATGATTGCGAAAGACAGAATGGATGGCGACTTTAACTGGAGACAACCGACAGTGGAAAGAAAAAAATAAATTTAACAAAATATGTATTAATGAAAACCTCGTTCCTAAATATATATATATATATATATATATATATATATGATAGAACAAAAAAGCTTTTTTTATATTCCTAAACCATCTTCGGTGTTCGAATTGATACTTTATGTAGAAGAAAACTTTGACACTCATTTACGATAGAAAAATCAAAAAATTAAACCGGAAGTTTACTAACGCGGAGGAACATGCTGTGACTTTTATCAGTAATTGCATTTCTGACAGTCTTTATCTTTATTCATTAAACTTCATTAAATATTTTTGCCCATTTTGCGTTGATTAGTTTTTTACTAATAGATTTTTATTAACAATCTATTAGTAAAAAACTAGTCAGCCCAAAATGGGCAAAAACATTTAATGAAGTTTGTATCGCTGAGAACTTCGTACCAATATATATATATATATATATATATATATATATATATATATATACACACACAGTGGTATAGGAAATAGGGCCTTGGGGCTGCGGTAAAACATACCGTACATGTATAGGCTTATGATTTTATATTAGTCGCAGAAAAAAAAACGTTTGAATTACGTCAGTGGAAAAGTTGCATTATTATTGGTTGCGGATGTCTCACGCTCGTCAAATGGCTAAAAAATATCAGCTAATAAGCGTCATGTCAGCACTGCGTAGAAACGATATTGTCCACGTAAAACTAATCAACATCAAAACTGTGTCCTGTTTCTCTTTGTTTCGTAGGGGGGTTCTAGTGTAACATCTGATGAAAATGAACTGTCGATTGTCAGTGAAGCTTCCTGGCCGGAGTTTGTCGTTTGCAGTTGGGTGTCGAAATTCAAAAACAACAACAACAGTAACAACAGTCCAAAAATTGTCCACACATTAACCGTGTAACCAAAAAAGAAGATGACAGGAAGTCTTTGTATTTATTTAAAAAAAATTCTACGAGGACTCTATGATTGATTACCAGAATTCGATTTGATTTGATTAATTTGCTTTTTTTATACCGTGTGATGGCGCCTGTAGAGAATATTCAGTGTTATTATTAAGATCACAGTTTATGTGTTTAAAAATGTTAACAATACACACAAACACACGTATACTCACATATGTATATTTATGTATACGCACATACATTACTATACAGGT